GCCCAAGAAGTCGTTTGTACAACACAAGCGTGGCTGGGTAATTAATTACTTTTCTGACCAGGGGTGGGGCTCCGCACTTGGATCCTCAGGATATGGAAAGAGTCGCGGCATAGACGGACACCAGTTCCCGTTCATTTTGAACAGGGCTTGTAGACGGCGTCGCTGCAGCCGCTGTCAATTTTAGGCGGGAGGTCGCCTGCCCAACAGCGGCCGCTGCCGAATTTGGACAAAATTAGCCGTTAGCCATCGTACCACTTTGTCCCTTACCCGTGCATGGCCTGTCAATCGTGGCGGTGCTCTTGACAGAAAAAGAAACAACGCGACATACACAATTTCGTAGGGCCCGGGCGGATTTCTTGGATCGACGCTGGGCCTTTGGCGGATATGTTACGTAGGGTCCGCGCGGGTTCCTCGGATCTGCGCCGGGCCCCCTCTGGCACTGCTCATGGCGCGCTCCGGGCGCCAGGGAGGAGCATCCGCGAGAACCTCCAAATGTTTGTGCGTATGCGGTTGTTTCTACCTCGCCCAGCGGTCGGGGTCCTGCAGGAAGGGGTCCTGTAGGAAGGGGCTGGCCCTGGTCCCGGCCCCCGGCCCCGACACTGGCCCCGACCCCGGCCGCGGCCGTGGCCCCGACCCTGGCCCCGGGCTCCCGGGAGGGGGCCCCGGGGTCCTGGGGGAGGTCCCGCGCATCCAGAATCCTGGCACCAAGCCCTAAACATGAACCATGACACCAACACCCGCAACCTCGCGGTGGCGCGCCTTCGCTGCGGCTTGTCAGAGAGCGGAAGTCCTCCCCCCTGCAGTGGCCACATCTCGCAGGCCTAGAGGTTGACACCAACACCAATATCGGCGGTGTTCCTCCACCGAGGGAAGAAGATCCCGATCTCGGTGATGGTGGTAATATTCTGGCTTCCAAGGTGACCGAAATATTACCACCAACACCGAAATCTAGGATCATCTCCCCCCTGTGGAGGCAGCCCCCTGTATTGGTGTTGGTGCCCATTTTCAGGCCTCCAAACATCGCCTCTCTTTCGGCATTCGCTGAGCCTGTCGCGCCGCTGCCTCCCGGCCTCCTTGGTGGCCGCGGTGCTGCAACGCTGCGGTCGTGTCCCTGTGCTTCTTCACGATCCTGTGTCGGCGGCGAGCGGCGAAGAGGAGGAGGAGGAGGAGGAGGAGGAGGAGGAGGAGGAGGAGGTGGAGGAGGAGGAGGAGGAGGAGGAGGAGGAGCGGGGGGGCCTCTCGGAAGCCCTCGCGCCTCCGAGAGGCCTGCAGCGCTTCTTCGGGGAGGGCCTACAGCAACTCCTCGGAAGGCCCGGGGGGGCCTCCGAGCCTCCGGAAGGAGAGGCCTCCTCCCTCTCTCGTCTGCCCCTCGCTCGCCGCCGACTGCGAGCGACGGTCCACCAGAGATGCGCCTCCTGCGGCACCTGCCGAGCCCGCCGTGCCGCGGCCTCCCGGCCTCCCTGGTGGCAGCGGCGCAGTTGCGCTGCGGTGGCGTGCCTCCGCGTCTTCGTCATCCTTTACCAGCCTCGAACTTATCCCTATCCCTAAGATTGACACGCCAAAAAGCGATGACGATCTTAGGGATGCGCCCTCAAAAAATAAGGGAGTCCCTGAGATTGGCATCTTGATGAGGAGATGCCCAGCATAGGGATAGGGATATTCCAGGCTGGTAAATCCTGTGAGCGACGGGCCACCAGAAACGCAGGGCGAAGCCCGTGGTGTGGCACAACCCGTGGTGCTGACGGTTCAGCAGCTGCGGCTGCTCGAGAGCGGGTGCTGGTTTGCACGCTCGCCAGCAGGGAGCGCCGGGGAGCTGGCCGTACCCACGTCGGGCATCCCCTCGACAGGAGGAATAGTCAAAATTAGTAACTGACTAGCCTGGGGACGATTTCTTGAACATCTATGAGTATGTAATGCGTTCTGGCTATGTTTCACCTTTCCTTTAGACTCCGCCCGCAGGCGGGCACGCCCGACCCAAGGCCAGCTGTGAGTTCTTGCCGGATGTTGCCCGTCCTTGTCTGTTTGGTGTTCTCTGGCGAGGGGGGGAGGCGTCGACGGGGAGCCTGCTGACGGTGACTGCACTGGCTTGTGCGGCGGAGCTTGTGCAGCCCGGCGGGCCTGGCAATCGCAGGGCCCCGGCGCGTGGGCCTACGGTCGCGACCACATGTTTCCAGCGCGGGTCTGCGGGACGAAAGCGCAGATGAGACGTTGCGTCCACACGGAGCTTACTGTTCCTCCTCCTCCTCCTCCTCCTCCTCCTCCTCCTCCTCCTCTCTTCCTCCTCCCGTGTTCGTTTGCATCGCGATGTTCGCTATGCAAAGCCTCTTGTTTGTAGAATGCCGCGCAACCCTCATGCTCCAAAGCATCATCTGCCACTGCTTGTCTGGACGGAGCTGGCCGTCATGGTGCCCTGGCTAGACCATCGCTGGTTGTACTCGGCAGGATTATTCCTCGTTTCTTGTTGGCATGTCCAGCTGCCCGCTTTCCTGCGCGCCCGCCTTGCAGTTCGCTCCGCTCTGATGCGGCCTGGAGAGCACGGGCCATTCATCACAATGCAACACCGCACCGGCGTTCGCTAGAAGCGTCCTGCGTTACTTTCGTGCAGTGCCAGAGCTGATGGGAGCATTCCTTCGCGGTGGCGCGCGAGCAGGCCGTTCTCTTCATGGCGCGATAGGCCGCTCGTCTTACGAATAAGGCCGTGTGTGCGTGGGGGGAGGTGGATTCATGACAGCTGGCACCAGGGTCAATTTTTCTGAAGGGGTGCCTTGATAGTCAAGACGCTGAAATAAGGAACAGTCTGGGTTCGGCAGGGGCTCGATTTTCCTTAGGTTCCTCCAGTGCTGTTCCTCTTGCCCTCCTGGGGCACGGAGGCGCTTTACAGGGCCAATAAGGTCGGAGGTGGACAGAACCCCCAACAGTGACACGTCGATTAGTGAATTGTCCGTTTTCGGTTTTCGAGAGGGCGCCGTGGCCGTTATTTTCCAGGCTTGCGCCCGCCAGGTTTGGGCCTCAGGTCGTTTTCACTAAACCACGTTTTGCTAAAGGGGGGTCTGTCCATCCCCGAAAAGAGGCGTCGTTCCTCATTTAGCGTTCCTTCTTTCAGCAGCCCGACTGTGTGGGCCACCCAGCACTGCTGCTCTGCCAGCGGCGGCTGGTTGCCTTCGCCGATCGGGCGGAGGCCGCGCAGCGCGAGCGACCGGCCCTGGCGAGGCGCGCGGCCGCCCTGGAGCCCCGAGCAGCCCTCGGAGCTCTTAGGGGGCTCTTGCCTGCATGATTTTTCGAAATCTGGTTCCTCTATGTCGGGGGCGGAAAAGAGGGGGGTGATGACTGGGGGGGGGCAGATATCATGGCGGGGGTCATGATATTTCCGCAGATTTCATGGCGCCTCTTCTTATTTCATTACGTCCCTGGCCCCCCCGCTGGGCCGCGCACGTGCCGCTGGTCATGATTTGCACCCCCCCCTCTTGGACACCCCCCTCTTGGCCGCTCCCGACTATGGTTGCTTCGGCAACAAGCAGCCCAACTGTATGTCCTTCTTGTGATGACGCCCCGCAGCCAGAGCAGAGGGCCTCGAGCCCTCGGGGCATGGCCTCGTGTGCTCGACCCGCGTGCTCTGCGCTGCCCTGTTTTGGCTGCGCGCGCACGTGGACCTACGTGTTCGAGACTGTGTTCTGACCCTCTGGGTCCTCACGCGCGTTCTGCCCCCTCTCCCTCCCCCCCCCCCTAACGTGACGCTCCCCCCTCAGTGTGCCCCAGGGCGCTGCCGCAGTGCGTCCAGCACGACACTTTGGGGGGGGGGGAGGGGGGGGGGCGCCACGTTGTGCCCCGTACCGTCCCCCCCCCTCCCCCTCCCCCCCAATAACGCCCGTTATCCCTCGTCAGTTTCTCTGTCCGTCCTCAGCTGCGCGCAGAGGTTTTCTCCCCCATTCGGCAGCTCCTGGACCGCGGCCCACGGGGGACCTGCCGAGTGGCGCCCTCCGCTCGCAGGATTTGGATGCTCGGTTAGTGATTTTCCTTCTCTTCTTCCTCCTCCTTCTCCACCTCCTCTTCTTCCTTTTCTCCTTCTCCTCCTCATCATCAGTATCATCTGGCTTCCTTTTTCTTCTTGGAGTCTGGGAGCTGAGGCTATAGACGACAGCCCATGGCAGACCAGCAATCTCCTCGTGGAGGGGCAGACCGGCCATAGCCGAGGGAGCTCGAGTCCTTGCCCCCTCTGAGATTGTCTTTTGTTATCTTCCGGGCCGTAGCGCTCGTCACCTGCGCCAACACCCCCCCGGGTAACGGTGACGACCGTGCGTAAGGGGGAGCTTGCACCTCCCCCCCCCAGACGCGCAGGTGCTCGCGCGCGCATGCCAGGGCGATCGCAGCACACTCCCGCCCGACGTGCCCCGCCCCGCCGAAGCGTTACCGCCACCCTGGGCCCCCCAACCCCCACCTCGGGTAACGACGACGACGACGACGACGACGACGACGACGACGACGACGACGTTAACGACGTTAACGACGTTAACGACGACGACGTTAACGACGACGACGACGACGACGACGACGACGACGACGACGACGACGATCGGCTCCGCCACTCTTTCGTCGAGGGACGGTCGGCACGCCGGGCTCCCCGAGTCTAGGGGCCTCCCGGAGGGGCTCCGAGGATCGCGCGCCGCGCCGCCGCTGCAGCGGCGAGGCGGCCCTCTTTGCCGCCCCGGCGTCGCCGATGCCCCGCCGATGCAGCGCCAATGCAGTGCGAGCCTCCGACCCCATCTGCTCAGGCCCCCTCCCTCCCTCCCTCCTCCCAGGAGGAGGGAGGAGGAGGGAGGGAGGGAGGGAGGAGAAGGAGGAGGAGGAGGAGGAGGAGGGAGGGAGGGAGGGAGGGAGGGAGGAGGGAGGGAGGGAGGAGGAGGGGAGGGAGGGAGGGAGGGAGGAGGGAGGGAGGGAGGGAGGGAGGGAGGAGGGATGCCTGTGCCGAAGAGGGGCGTGCGCCGACGGGCGCCCCGCGAGAGGCGGCCGCCGTGGGCGCGGCGGCGCCGGGGCGCGAGTGGCAGCCCTGCTGGCGGGCTCCGCGCGCGCCCCCCCCCGGGAGGTCAGGGGCAAGGATGCCTAGTCAGAGCCCCGAATCATCAGGGGTGACTCGGGTCAGGGCTAACTCGGGCTCGTTTTTCGGGAATCCGAGCCCGAGTTACCCCTGGGCCCGAGTTGCCCCGGATAAGTCGGGCGTCCAGAGCCCCACATCATCAGGGGTAACTCGGGTCAGGGTTAACTCGGGCTCGTTTTTCAGGAATCCGAACCCGAGTTACCCCGGGCCCGAGCTGCCCCGGATAATTCGGGCGTCCAGAGCCCCACATCATCAGGGGTAACTCGGGTCAGGGCTGACTCGGGTTCCTTTTTCGGGAATCCGAACCCGAGTTACCCTGGGCCCGAGTTACCCCGGATAATTCGGGCGTCCAGAGCCCCACATCGTCAGGGGTAATTCGGGTCAGGGCTAACTCGGGTTCCTTTTTCGGGAATCCAAACCCGAGTTACCCCGGACCCGAGTTACCCCGGATAACTCGGGCGCCCAACCTAGGTCTCGGCATCGTTCGGACGAGTGCATGTTTGTATCGGCGAGGACCATCAAGGAGCATACTCCAAACAAGGAAGGGCAAGGGCATGAGCATCAACTTTCGACGGCCCGCGCGGATGTTCGTGATCGGCGCCTGAGGGCCTCCCCTTGCGGCGCCTGTGGCGCCGCCCCCGGCGCGCTCCAGCCCAGCGCGGATCCAAGACATCCGCGCGGACAACCAACAGTTTATGTTGATGCCGTTTTTTTCTTCCTCGATTCCTGGATCGCTTAGCAAGCAAATCACGCACGAAACGGACACATGCACGGGGAATGGACGTCCGTGTAATGGCGAGTAGGGGGGATGGGCATTTTCGTGTGCTCTCGGTAGTTTTCCAGTCTCGGGGTGCGTTCCAGCAGCTGCGCCTCTCCGAGAGCGGTTCAGGGGTGGCCGCATCGTCCCGAGTGGCGTTTTGACTTACGGCCCGAAGGCCAGGCAGGGGACTGACTCAGGGGGGGATGCATCGATCCCCAATCGCCCATCCATCGCCGATGGGGGCCCCGTAGCCCCAACCTGCCCAGGAACATGCAGACTTCCTATCGGAGGCCTATCGCCGATCTATCGGCGATGTATCGCCGATTCCAGTTCGATGTTCGGCTTGACCCAAAAGGGGGCCCAGCAAAGAGGGGGTGGTGAAGTAGATCTGGTGCAATAGACTGGTGGGGTTGCAGGAGATTTGGGGCGTGCAGTACATTCTAGATGTGGTGCAATGCGTTCAGTTGCGATACGATGCCATATAAGTATCGACGCTTCGCGTAGGCCCACCAGGTCACACCGCCCTCTGGACTTTTCCTTGCGGGCCGCGAATCAAAAAGTAGGCCCACCAGGTTGTCTGTCTGGGCAGTTGCTCGAAGCTTGGCGCCGCAAGGGCGACTTACTCCGCAGCTTGCACCTCCGTGCGCTAGGTGCGTCCCTGTGAATGCGGGGCATTTAGCTCCTTGCACGTGCATTGCACGCCTCGCGTGGAATTTGCCTGTTCCGCCGTCCCGGACACGCCTGTTGCCGGCTTACCTTTGTCGCGCGGCCGCCGACCAAAAAAGTAGGCCCACCAGCCCATCCAAAACCGACGCCCGGGCGAGTTGAGACGATTATGGAAGTGTAGGAGCAAAGAGGGGGACAGCCGGTATCGCTCGAGTGAGGTGGAGGATGGATGAGGGAGGGGGGGGAAGGATGATCAATTTGCTGATGAGGAGCAGGGGGAGGAGGGGAAGGGCGAGCATAATGATGAGACGCTTCTTGGATGTCTCTCGGCGTCTCCCAGGATATCTCTTGAGCAATTGCATGCTCCTTGGATCATGTTGGAAACGTTGTGGCGGTTCCGAAAAGTTCTCGGGGCGTGTTGGATGCTTCTTGGAAGTTGATTGGGGCATTTTTGGGGGGGGCCTCTTGTGAGCATCTTTGGGATATAGTTGCAGGCTCGTTGAGGACTTTTGGGCGCCTCGTCCTACTCCCTCCTCCCACTTCCTTCCTCGATCAGGACGGCAAAAGTGAGACTCGGCAAGGTCGCGTACCACAGGTCGCGTACCATGACCGACGAGCCTCGTACCACAGGTCGCGTACCATGAGACATACGTTCGCGTACCACAGATCGCGTACCATCACCAGGCAGGTCGCGTATCACAGGTCGCGGATTGCCAGGCGTCGGGGGGGGCGCGTCGGGGAGGCCTCTTGGCGGGCCCAGGGCCGTCTTTGAGCGTCTTGGGTACCTCGGGGATTCTCCTGAGGCTTCTTGAGGGTCTCTTGGGAGACTCTTGGAGGCATCTCCGGCGCCGCTCTTGGGCCGTCTCGGCGCCTCTTGGGGCGCTCTTGGGGCCATCATCGATCAAACAAGTCGGGAGCTTCGATTCGCCTCCCCCCTCGGGAGCCCCAACACATCGCCTCTTGCGGCGATATACGGGGCGCTCTTGGAGCGCTCTGGGGCGCTCCTGGGGACAGCTTGGGGCTCTCTTGAGCCTCTCTCTGAGGGCCTTCCTTGGGCCATCTCGGAGCCATCCTGAGGCCTCGGATGACCATCGGAAGAGACAAGGCGAGAAAGCAACAACCAGTGATTTGCCATAGGTTTTGGAGGGATGTTGGTCTCTTCGAGGCCTCCTTGGGGAGCTCTTCGGCCACTTGGAGCCGTCTTCGGGCGTTCTTGGGGCTTATTTGAGCATCTTGGCAGCCATCTTGAGGCATCTTGGGCTGTCTTGAGACATCGTGGAGGTCATCTTGGGCTCTCCGAGGCCCTCTCGGAGCCGTCTTAGGCCATCTTGGACGCTCCAACTACCCGCGTACCCCCCGTCCAGCTTCAGGGGGGGGGGTAGGTGGAGGGGGAAGCCCTTCCCCGACTGGGAAGAAGGGGGTTGGAAGAGGAAGCTCTCTGGACCACCTACGCCCAGAGGGCTGGTGGGATTCGCTGGCGCAATACATTCGCAATACAAGTGCCCCAAATCTATTGCACGGCCCCCTTGCAGCTGGACCCCATTCTGGGTCAACCAAAGCTTTGCCCCCCAGCTATGCCAGACCCCCAAAGGTGTCGCGCCCCTGTGGCATCCCGGCGCCTCGAGTGCTTTGGAACGGCTCAGTTCGGCTCCCCCGGGCTACATGCGAGTCGAGAACGATGCATCTATTCCGCTTCAGATTCGGTTCGGTCTGGCGTTCCGCTTTGGGGCTCGCTTTCTCGATTTCCGCCGATGCGGGTTCTTCCGGCTTGGTTGCCGATGTCCGCCGATCCGATTCGTGGCGATCGCTGGTCCGATTCGATTCGGGGCCCTGCTGCCCATCCTCAAGAAGCGCTGGAGTTCCTTGGCATCGCTCGGACGTGTGCATGTTTCCTTCGGCGAGGACCATCGAGGAGCATCCTTGATGATTTGGCGAAACAACCACGCACGAAACCGAAAAAAACACAGGGAATGGACGTCCGAGCGATGCCCAGGTTCAGAGCGCCCCGATTTGCACCTCGGAGGCCACGGCTGGTGGATTCGGAGGCCCCGCCCTTCCTCCCCACTCTTCTCGCTTCTCGCCCCCCACCGGGCTCCGTGTTCCTTCATTGTTTTGCAGCATGCCTGAGGTTATCCTTAGGTTTTCGATGGGAAGTCAAAGTTCCTTATTTAGGGTTCCTTAGGTCAACGCCCCGACGGAAAGGGGAGGAGGAAGGCGGACGAGGACAGCCAGGTGTCTCCCCCCCCTCCCCCCCCTTGCCATAAAGGGGTCGCGGGATTCCTTCCGAGCTTCTGGTTCGGCTACACGCAAAGAGTGACCCTTGGCTGGAGTGACGTTTGGTGCTGGCCCAAAGGGGGTCGGGTAATTTTTTATGGCGGGGTTGAGCTCGATCTCGCGTCGGCGCCCGCTGCGTGGGGCTACGCTCGCATCTGAGCGCGACAAGGTTGGGCCCCCCCTCGCAATCGACCGCAACGCAAACGCGGCGCATCCTACAGCACGCATTAGTTCCCCGAGGGGGCGGGGGTGATCGACCAGGCTGCACGTTTTCCGCTCCAGGACCGGTCCCGAATCCTGGCCGAATTTCCAAATCGTACCGCTTAGATCTCTTATTTAGAAATTGAATGGTACCCGAGAAAAAACCCAATCAGGACTATAGGGCTAGGGGGCTATAGGGCTATTGAGCTATAGGGCTATAGAGCTATATATATATATATATGGCTATAGAGTTGTAGGGCTATAGATCTATTGGGCTATGGCTATAGGGCTATAGGGCTTAGGGCACCCCGGGGCACCCCCGGACACGCTGGGGCACCCGGGCACCCGGGCACCACCCGGGCACCCCGGCTGGGCACCCGGGCACCTGCAGGGCACCTCCTGGGCATCCGGGCCCCGGGCACCCCCGGGCACCCGGGCACCCGGGCGTGCAGCGAAAATCGGCGACAAACCTAACTTAACCATATGAATCCGCTAGAGGCAAGCTCTGATTGGGGAATATATTCATACATTTATATATATAGAGCGATAGAGAGAGAGAGAGAGAGATCTTATTGGACCAGCGGAGTGCTTTATGATTGCAAGGTGCCCAAACATATTTAAGCACATTCCGTGCACTTTGTTGTCCTCGCTTTTAACCACCACGCTGGACTTGTTCAGACAGCATCTCGACGTGGCTCGGCGTGCCCTGTGCTGTTTGCAGGCGGCGAGCCCAGTGGGAGGTGAGAGCGGGCCGGCTTTCGCATGAGGCGGCGGGGCTCCTCAGAGGCCCTCCTGGCACTCTAAGAGGCCACTTCTGCCTCCAACAAACACTCTGAAGACTTGTTGGAGGTCGCGAGGAGTCCCGAGTTCCTTCCGCCGCTTTCCTCTGGCGCGTCACCGTGATTCATTCGGGCCAAGCCCCCCATCCTGGTAACGGTAACGATCGTACGTAAGGGGGGGGGGCCTGGACCCCCAGATGTGCTGGTGATTGCCCGCGTGTTGTGATGGCGATCGCAGCGCACCCCCGCCACGACGTGCCCCATCTCGCCCAAGCGTTAACGCTTCCTGGGACCCCAACCCCACCTCCCCAACAATCTCTGTGTGCCCCGACTCGCGCCCGCGACACGCCCACGACCCACATTATCGCGCTCTTGCCGCGACCCCCCCGGCCAGGGCAGCGTCGTTTGGGCACGGCGCGCGGCTCCATCTCGAGACCAGGGCCCCATGACTCTTGTTGCCCACCACCGCGGGGCTCAATTGCACCCGTTCCGCTTCCATAGCCCGCGCCGCCGCAGCAGTTTTGACTCCAGCATCTTGCGGGTGGCTTGTGCGCACGCCACGCGCGCTGATGCGGGGCCGACGTAGCTCAGCGGGCCTCCGATGACGCCGCCGCTGGGTGATGAGCCCCCCCGAGCTCAGCGCAGCTAAGGCCAGCTGGGCTGCGCTTCCGCACTGCCGTGGTATAGTTATTCACTGTACTCTCCATGATGATCGCCGCGGCACGCGGGGTGCTGTGCGCTGCCCGGCTGCCTTCAGCGCCGCGGGCAGCCGGGCGTGCATTAGCAGGGCTTTCTGCGACCCTTGGCGGTCCTTTGCAAACAGCGGCCGGCATGTCGCTCCCGCCGCCTGCGCCCAGTGCGCCGCGTCACGGCGATGCCCCCGCAGTCGGCATGCCGCTCCCGCCGCCTGCGCCCAGTGCGCCACGTCACGGCGATCCCCCCGCAGCCGGCGTGCCGCTTCCACCGCCTGCGCCCAGTGCGCCGCTTCAAGGCGATGTCTCTGCAGCCAGCATGCCGCTCCCGCCTCCTGCGCCCAGTTTGCCGCGTCAAGGCGATGCCCCCGCACCGAGCCAGCCGCTTCCGCCGCCTGCTCCTCGCGCGCCGCGTCAAAGCGATGCCCCTCCAGCTCCTCCACCACTGCCGCCCCCAGCGCCAGTGGTCAGTTCTGGCCTAAACGCGGCCGAGTACCTCTGGCAACTGGAGGAGTCGTTGCGCCCCTCGCCCGAGCAGGAGGTCGAGCGCGACGCGCTGGAAGCCGCGATGCGCGCTGCTTGTGCAGAGCTTGGAGGGAGCGCGTGCTGCTACGGCTCGTGCGCGAATGGCACATGGATGCAGGGATCCGACGTCGACATCGCGTGGGTCCTCCCCGTGCCTAGCGAGGTTGCGGCGACGGACGCGGAGGCAGATGCAGGCGGCGCCGTTTGCGTGGAGGCCGAGGCCGCGCAGGTCACCGATGAGGATGGACCTCGGCCGCATGGGCAGTCGCTGCTGTCCAATCAGCCTGGCGAGTCCACGGTGACGGACGCGGAGGTAGATGCGGGCGGCGCCGCTTGCGTGGAGGCCGAGTCCGCGCGGGTCACCGAGGAGGAAGGACCTTGGCCGCAGCGGCATGCGCTGCTGTCCAGTCAGCCTTCTGGCGAGTCCACGGTGACGGATGCGGAGGCAGATGCGGGCGGCGCCCTGTGCGTGGAGGCCGAGGCCGCGCAGGTCCCCGATGAGGATGGACCTCGGTCGCAGGCGCAGCCGGTGCTAGCCAGTCAGCCCGCCGCCGCAGCGTCTCTGTCCGACCCGCCCCCGCCGCCGCCGCCTCCGCCCCCGCCTCCTGCGACGCGGCGCGGCAGGGCGCGCCGTGCTCCCAGTGACGCAGGGCTTTGGGAGCTGGAGAAGCTGCGCAGCATGCAACTGCACCTGGAGGGTGCCAAGAGCGTCCCCGGCGTATCGAAAACGCTGCTGGTAAAGGGCGCCAGGGTGCCCGTGCTGAAGCTGCTCGGGGCGCACGGCAAGGTGGTGTGCGACATCTCGATGAACAATGCCGAGGGGTTACGCAACACGCACCTTGTGCGGGAGCTGTGCAGGCGTGCCCGAATATTGCCGCCTCTCGTGCTGCTGCTGAAGCACTGGGCGCGTCAGCGTGGCGTGGGTGACCGCGCTCTTGGCGGCTTCAGCACCTACACGCTGGTTCTGATGGCGGCGCGCTACCTGCAAGCCAACATGCCCGATGCGCCTGGTGCCGTGGATGGCCGCCTGTCGGGCGAGGGGGTCGAGTCAGCGCGCCGGTGCGCCGAGACGATAGAGCTGACCAGCGCGGGCCCCGCGGGGCTCCTCGGGGACCCGGCGCCCGACAGCAGCAAGGCTTCGGCGATGGCTCCGCGGGAGCTACCCCCGCCTGGGGCCGCCTGCCTGGCGGCGAGCACGGAAATCGCGGTCGCCACCAGCGGAGGTGCCGAGCCAGCCGTGGAGGTGGCGGGTCCCGCGGGCATCGCTGCGGCGAGCGCCAGAGACAAGGAAGGATTGCAGGCGACCGCTGCGAAGCCCGTCGCCGAAGCCGACTTGCTCGCGAAGGCCTTCAAGGGTTTTTTCACCTACTTCGACGGGCCAGCTTTCGCCGACAGCCGCGGGGTACTCTTGGATGGTGGTGCGCCACCTGCTGCCACGGCAAGCCTCGCGGGTGCCCTGTCGCCTCCACCTCCCCCGCCGCCCCCTGCTGCGCCTCCACCGCAGACCCCGGAGCCCGAGGCGGCGACGTCGGAGGCGCAGGCCCCTTCGCCCCCCCCCCCAGCGGCGCACCCACCCGTTGCGAGAACTGATGGGCGGAGAGTGCCGCCCCCACCGTCTGGAGAGCCTCCTGCCGGGACGCCAGCCGCACAGCAGCGGCGGGCGTCTGCGTGGCCGTCGGCAGCAGGCGGAGTTGCGCACCAAACAGGGGAGCCTGTCGGCAGCATGCCGTCGCTCGCCCTCCCGCCCGACGGCGGCACCGGGCCGGCCACCGCGGTGTCATCGGGGCCGCCGCCCCCGCCCCCGCCCCCGCCCCCGCGGCTCGTCAGCAGGGTGGCCAGAGTCGACGTGTTCTGCCCGCTGACTGGGCGCGACGTGCAGCGCTGCAGGCCAGGAGAGTGGCTGCGCCTCTCGCGAGAGATCCGACGCGCCGCATCGATGCTGCAGACGGACTTGCCTGGGCAGGCCGCGAAGGTCAGTATCGGTTGACCTATATCCCCATCCCCGCGGGGCCATGGTATTCCAGCCCCACCATCCCACCACCCCAGTTGGGGATAGGCCCCTCGAAACCCGAAGGGAACAGCCTATATCCCCCTCTGAGGAAGTGAATCGGCCAGTAGCCCCATGGCCACGCCAGTGGGGCGAGGGATCGGTCAAACGATGCTCAAAGGTCTTCGAGGCGGCGTTCAGGTACCGCAGCTCCGGCTTCTCGACAACGCCGGCGCAGCCCGCCGGCACGCGAGCGATGCCGCCCGCGCCGCCGGCCGCCGTGCCCCGCCTGCAGCCGCTGCCCGCGCTCCCCGAGCGCCCGCCGCTGCCGCCGGTGCCCCCGCTGCCCCCGGCGCCCCCCCTGCATCGGAGGAGGGCCCATGGAGCCGACGGCGGCTCTCCTCGAGGCGTGGTATCCGACCCCGAACCTCGGAGCCGGCGGGGGGTCCGAGGTGGCCCCGCATTGGTTCTGGCGAGGTGGCCGGGGGCAGGCTCGAGGCGCCGAGTTCGAGCAGCGTGTTGGCTCGTTTCTGCCTCCGGGGGCCGCTCTCGAGGTCCAGGACCGTTGAAAAAAATGATGCAGGGGAAAAGCTGCACCAGATGGACCTTGGGAGGGGTCTAGGGACCGAGTTTGAGCAGAGTTTGTTTCATCCCCCCCTCACCGATGCTCTGCGGTATGTTTCCAACCCGAACCAAACCTCCAGGTCGATTTGGGAGGTCGCCGCGGCGATCGCGAGAAGGTTTTCGTTCCCAGCACCCCCCCAGCTGTGCGACGCAGACTGGCTCAATGCTGACAACAGATCGACAGAGACATTGCTGATTTATCATGTGCAACATGGGCAGTCACTCTTTTTAGTTAGCTTTATGATGTTCCAACCTACTTTAGCCTTGACCACCAGAAAGAATTTCGAGCACCACAGAAAATATCGAAACTCGAGGGTTTTCACGTGTCGGGCCCTGGGAGACACTCGCCCGACACTCTTTCGACACTCTTTCGACACTTTTCCGGCTGCTCGAAATCATTTCTGGGATGTGTTCCTTGAGCAGGATGGGACCAACAGAAAGTTAGCTTCGGTGTTCGAACATGGTCCCCTCGTCAACTGCAACCGCCAAGCCCTTGCCCCGGCAACCGACAGAAGTTGCCAGAGACCGCCGGGGCCCGGCGCAGTTTGCCGAGGACCGACACGAAACCCGCCGAGCACCGCCAGAGACCGCTGGAACTTCCAGCGGTCTCTGGCGGTGCTTCCGAAGACCGCCGAAGACCGCCCGAGGCAGATGGCTACCAGGTGATGGGCGTGTTTCCCTCCACCACAAAACCCATAAGTTGGAGGGGGTGTCCTCCTCCTCCTCCTCCTCCTCCTCCTCCTCCTCCTCCTCCTCCTCCTCCTCTTCCTCTTCGTCCTCCTCCTCCTCCTCCTCCTCCTCCTCCTCCTCCTCTTCCTCCTCCTTCCCCCTTCCCCCTTCCAACATATGGTGGTGGTGGTGGCTCAGGGGGCCCTGAAAACGACAGGGCCGTTTTTCTACCAGTTCCGTTTTGCCGTTTTTTTTGCCGGTTCCGACGCCGTTTTTGTTACCGGTTCCGTCGCCGTTTTTTTGCGGGTTCTGGCTCCGGCTTCAATCCTGGAGCCGGTTTTGTTGCTGTTTCCAGTCGGCGTTTTTTTGCCGTTTCCATTTTCAACGGGATTTTTTTCGGAAACAGTGAAAAACACGGCCTTGCCGTTTTCGTGGCCCACTAGGGTCGAAAACGCAGGTCGGGGGTCGCCTGTCACGCAACCATCTCCCGCCCTGCTACGGATGAGCGGCAGAAAGCATCGGGCGTCGGGAGCGCGTGGCGCGGATAGGCCGAACGTGGAGCGTTTGCATCAGGTCGCGGCCGAAAGTGGCAAGCCCGTCGCGGCACCGCACACCCACAGTCAACCAGTATAGACAGTATAGATGGGCAACCTTCCCAAGGGCCCACCTTTGTATCCCTGCCCCTTCGGCCCATCCTTGGCGACTCTCGCTGGCCAAAACCTCCTTCGGAAAACGCCACCAGGGCCCTCCAAGGCCCTCGCGTCCTTGCCGCGCATCCTCACCATACCCAGGAGTAGGAGAAACCACACAGACACCATGGATCGCCGATCCCCAGGAAGACAGAGGAACAAATGTGAAGTGGGGCGAGGACGAAAGCTCAGAACATGTAAGGAACATCTCGGACATCCTGGGATTTGTGTCGATTTACTTGTGCACCCCTGGGCCTCTTTAGGGACCCCCCTCCCGCCCGGGCCCCGATGCTCCGAGGCGGAGCCCCTGGGGCATGGGGCGGCGGGGCGCATCGCCGATGCATAGGCGATGCGGCTCGATGTGGAGCCCGACTTTCTCCACGCCGACGACGCCGATGCGTCGCCGTTGCATCGCCGATGCATCGGCGATGCGTCGCCGATGCATCGCCGATGTATTGGCGATGCAGCGCGATCCCCCGACCCCATCTGCTCCGACCCCATCTAGGAGGCCTCTAGAGGAGGAGGAGGAGGAGGAGGACCTCCTCATCCTCCCTTCTCCCCCGTCCTTCGTATGGTAGCGGTGGTGGCAAATTTGCCCCATCACTCGGGCCACGTGAACGCTGTTTTATGATTTGCTTTGCCGACCGGCGCGGGCCCTCGCAGTCCCCCGCGCCTCCCCCCCATGGAGTAGATCTTGGCCGTTTGTGTCGCCTGTGTCGCCTGTCTCGAGCAGGTGGGGCCTCCCCCTCAGGACGCACTGTGGCAATCAGTCGCGCTGAGCAGAGGTCCGGAGCCAGACCCCTCCCCCCCTTTCCGCCCAATGTCGAAACACCGAATAGGAAAACGTGCTCCATGGAAAGAAAGATCACGACGGAAGGGTTTTCTCTGTTTGCAGTCTCCAGAGCCCGGAACCCGCCCTCGGGGCCGCCCACGAGAGCGAGAGGCAGGATGAAACGCTGTTCCCAGGGAAGGGGTCGGGACCTTTGGGGGTCGACGCTCCGAAAAGTCATGGCGTAGGGGGTCTGGTCGTGGAGGCCTGGGCCTCTTCCCCAGGGCTGGCGCTGCATCCTGAGTGAGGGTGAACTCTTCGGCGGAGTGACCTCGTGGGCGGGGCCCACCGGGGCGCCCGACTGCTGAATGCGAGGCGATTGCGGCGGCCTGCGCGCTGGAGCCTGCCCCCCTCGCGCCCCCCCCCCAAAGCCGCGCACCAAAGGTAGGTCATCCTTGCCCAGGGCCACTCTTACTCACGGGGCGCGTTCCATTACTCGCAAAGCAAGGGCGCCCTCGAGGGTTCGAAGCTATTCGCGCTTCGCGGTTCGGCTCGGATTCATCCTCATCTTCCTCTTCTCCCTTTGGGAGGCGGCGCGAGAGCGCGAAGTTATTCGCACTTCGCGCTTCGCGCAGCACGAAGCGCGAAGTTAGGAGCCCTTGCAAAGTGCCTGCTCGCAGACGCCCCGAAAGCGCAGGCTTGCTTCGGTGCAGTGGATCGCAATTCCCCCGCGGCGGATCCAGGGCATTTGCGAGTAGTCCTCTTGCTTGCGAGCAGTGGAAAGTGCTTGTCTCCAGGGGAGGCCTGACCGACCCCTGGCAAACCATCCCCTTCCGTGACGTCCCCCTCGCATCGCCACAAGACGTACGTATGCGGCCAGCGGGGGGCTCGAACGGCGAGGATGACGTCACGGAGGGGGTCGATTCGGCCGCGCCCGATGTCTACTTGCGTGCAGCCGACAGAGGGCCACCGTTGACTCGACTGGCCCTCCTCCGTCTGCAGCACGCAGCGGCGGACGCCGGCGGCGGCGCCCGCGCCCCAGAGGCCCATCCAGCGTCATAATTATGGAAATGCTTTATTTTTGGAGTCATGCCACAAACGCAACTCCAAAATATAAAATATAGAGATATGCCGTGACCCCACAGTAAACTCCACCGAAGGCCCAGTGGCAGCGGTCGCATGCGTCTACGCCGCCAATTTCGTCACACCCCTCACGCGGTTCATGACCCCCCAATGGAGCTCCATCGAGGGCCCCAGTGGTGACGTTCGCATGCTTCCTCCATGTATTTCGGCACACCCCTCACGCGGTTTGTCATTGGCCTTGTCGCCGTTCCTTTCCGCAGCCGTTTTGGCTCAGCAAGATTCATGCCTCCACGACTTACTGGAAAAGAGATTTCTGATGTCGAAGCAAACCAATTCTTCGATTCGAACGTGAATGTTGGGAGCCCGCTGAAAGCAATATTTCAGTATGCGAAGGGAAGTCCAAATGACAAAAAAAAGAGCGTCGATTGGCCTGGAATCAAAAAGAATCGCCAAGCTCTCACCGACATATTTCAGCTAACGGGTGGACGCATGCTCAAACACAAAACATTCTGCCTTCAGTTGCACACTTATTACAATAAAAACAATGTGCGGGTCACCCACCCAGACTGTGAGGTAATATCGTACAGACTTCGTAACATGATGTCGCACCTGCGAGATTTCAAACGGGCTTCGACCAAATCTGGGAAGGAACCGCCGACAGCGTACAAGCCGTTATCGGCTCTGCTACAGACAATTGTTGTGGACGGAGATGACAGCGATGATGAGGAGAACGGCAGCAGCGACGTTGAGGCAGTATCACCACCCAGAAAGAAGAGGGCTCTTGCAATCTCTGTGTCCAGCACATGCGTTTCGCCCAGCTCTTGTTCGGGAACTAACATAGGGGAGATCGATTTCGAACAACTGGAAGCAGCTGTTTTCCCAAGGGCGCGTGCTTCGACCAGCGGCTCCAAGGAGGTTGCAGCCCATGGCGCAGGACATATCACACAGTCCAGTTCAGCTGCTGACGGGGCCGAAGGAAGTCCCATGAAGAAACCTGCTGCTGATGATGCCGAGGAACCCTGCGGAACGACGCCGAAAGGCAAAGTTGATCTGATGCAGGCTGCCCTTGACGTCAAACCGCAAAAGCCAGGTGCGAAGGTGGAGAAGGCTCGGAAAAGACCAGCAGCATGTTCACCTGGTGAGGAGATTTCCATCGATGAGTTGTTCGAGAGATACAAGCCCACGGAAAGCCAGCCCTACAAGACACAGTACAAGAGACTTCACTCGATTATCTGGCACAGAGAGAGAGATCGTTGCAGAAAAGCTGAAATGGCTGATGACATGGTGAGTCAAAGAGCAAGCCAAGCTACTAAAACTGTGATGGATCGATTCAAAGGGAAATACGGAGGCGGCGATTGATTTCCAGACGCCTTGGCACTTTCATTGCTATGTCGATGCATCTGCTACTATCTCCGCCAGCATTTAATACATACGCATTTCTTCGCAATATCGCTTGAGTTTTTTGCGGGCTCCGATGCGAGCCCACTCTGATCCAGATGGCATTGCCTCAGAGTGTTCCAGAGTGTCCTTCAAACAAAACAACAACCTCATACATGCAGAGCAAGCAGCAGATGTAGTGCCCGTCGGAGCTCCAAACAGCATGACTCTCAGGCGGCCTTTTCCCATGGTATCGCTCCTACTGATTCTGGCCTTCTCAGTACACATCCCTGTCTTGCCGAG